ATTGAAGTGCATCACCAGTATTGCATAAAGGAGTTTATATCATCTCTAGAGCTGTGCCTAATCTGGTCTGCCAAAATGTGCCCCCCCTACCAGTCCTACCAGTACCCTACAAAACTCAATTACACCCTGATTATCATTATGTATGCAAATTATCACTATCCTGATATTATAAATAAGAAGACAAAGACAGACTGTAACTTGCTCAAAACCGGAAGAACAAAGGGAAATTAGTGAAATAGCCAGATAAAGAATCAGGAGTAGTTGGCTTCCAAAGCAAATTCCATTTTCATCCTCCTAAGTTTAGTTATTGTTGATTTCCCTCTTTTTGAGCATATGAATGTTTCCCACTTGGAAAAAAATCAAGACTAACTTCAAATTTTATAATTTTGCAAGAAACTTATAAAAGCATTGAACAACATATCTTTGGCTAGTTTACCCTGGAACTGGTAGGCTCTTAGTATTTTTTAAGGTCTAGCTGATATGTTTTCAAAATGGAAACACAATAATTTACAAGATGTTCCTCCATTTTTGCTATGGGCAGAGCAATTTTAAAAACCAGGTCCCCTAACAGGGAAATGAGCAGCATGACCAACATGAGGTAATGTCATCAAGAATAGTAAAGAAAACTGAAAAGCCAAATATTGGGCTATGCAAAATGTCCACATTATGTCATTTAAAATCTTCACAGCTGCAACAAAAAATCAGCACAAAATCATATTTTGTAAAGTGACTTGCTTTTATATTCCAACAGTATATTTTTGTTTATTGGGCTTATTTTAGACAGGAAGGTATTAACTAAAATGAAGCAAGTCAATTGTACAGGTTTTGTTTTAAAATCTGTATTCTGCTATGTCATTTTATATGATATTTTATATTAAGTTTATTCTATATATTACAATATATCTTCTACATAAGATATATATTTTATTATATATTTTATATATTATTATGTATCTTTTATATTAAAAGTGTGGGGAAAATCCTGAACTGATTTTCCTGGCACATAAGGTTCATAAATGTCAGTAAAACCAGAGAATTTTTTTAAAAGCACATTTTCCTTCCTTGCTGCGGTCGGAAACCACAGAGACAGTCAGATGGATGCTTAAGAAAGAGGGGGTGGGGGTTTCCAGTTCCTCGTGTTTCACCTTTTCATTGGTCTGCCTGATCATTTAAGGCAGAGGCTTGTTCCAGACAGCTTTAATTAAACTATGCTGTGAAACTGTATATAGATCAATGGAAATGATCCATAACAAAAGGCTAATCATGTATTTAGCAGTGTTCAGTCCAGCTCAATCATCTTCTACCATTTCTGTGGCTTTACATTCATGTGCCAAAGCCTTGAATGTGTGTATGTATTTTTTTAATCCATCTCATTAGTGACCATATGCTTTGGCTTCAAGGGAGACAAGAACTGTCTGCAATCTGCCAGGGATTTAGGGACATCAATAATTTCTGAATAGTCATGTTGGTACTGGTCGAAGGGTTAAGTGTTCTGCACACCAGGGGCACATCTTTTGGGACTAGAACTCCTAGTCAACTGCTAGGAACCTGATCCCCTGTGACGCATCTTTTCAGAGTACATGCTGCATGTCAGATCTCTGCAGCTGAAGCAATGGAGCTTTATTAGCTCAGGGATTTAAAAACCTGCTCTAAGCCAATGTAACAATATCTTTTGGTCAAAAAGTGAAAGAAAGATAGTAGTTGTAGTATGAAAGTGATTTTTTTATGTACTGGGCTAAATGTGATCTTCCTTTTTGTTACCATTTTCCTGTTTAATATGAGCTATTAGATGACTCCTCCCCTGCAAATATCCAGTGAAGCAAGAGTATGGCAGCAATAATGGGGACATGACTTTGGAAATATAATTTTGGATTCTGTGGCCTCACCTCATACTGCCTAAATCCTG